GTTTTGCAGCAGGGGTGAGCCCCTAGCGCTTGGCAGGGCCGTAACCGTGCCCAGTGCACCGACACCATTTTTCTGAAAAGCGATCCCGAGTCAGGCCGCCAGGGATGGGTAACCCCTGCGGCCTGACTCTAGATCGCTTTTCAAAAAATCAATGTGGTCTCTTTTTTCATCGTAAGCTCCGCCTTTATTGGGGGATTCAACGACAATGATGGTGATCGAAGAAAGGGAACTCTACCTAGTGGAATGACAAGGGGACCCCTTGAATATGCGGATCGACTCGCAATTCGCAGCGAAGGATATGCCCCGGCGATCTAGCATGGCCTCCCGCGGCGCTATCGACGCGGCACGCCCACGACTGGCTAACCACTCGCCGCAGGTCTCTAGCCGTTTAGCAGAGAGAGCGTTAGCGTTGAAGGATTCTGCACCAATAAGAGTTGCATCAATGCGGAAATCAGCGGTCAAACGAAACACAAAACAAAAAGGGGTCCCGCTTCTTTCTTGGGTCCTGAGCCGTCTCATGGTTTTCCTTCATCCCCGGCACCACTGATTACCTCTGTCTTAAAGACAAGGTCCGGAATTTCTGATGGAAACTAGGCGCAACGATACGCAAACCGGAAGCAATGCACAACTTCTGGGATGGTTTGACAAGGCCTAGGCGACAAGTCCCTAGGATGCACCGATTTGCCCCGCCCACCTCTATTGACCCCGCCCACGAATCATTGCTATTTGGCTCACCGCTGCTGGGAAAGGAGACTTTATTTTCGTTTATCGACGGTTCTCCTTTGTTCTTATAACTGATGTAACACTTCCCATCCCCACTGTTTTTTGTAAGCGTAATAATACACCAGTTCGATCCCGAACATTCCCTTTGATTTTAAGGACTGCCCTCTAATCGTGTGCTTCTTTTAATTGGTTGAAGGCAAAGGGCACAAACAGATTAGAAGAGTGGATTGGAGAGCGGCTGCTGAAGTCCATAATTGGAACTTCGCTTTTCAATAAGAAGCTCTTGATGAACTGCACCCTGGCATTGCTTCCAAATGCTGCTATGCGCTAAATTTAGATCGTCGAAATCCATTCCAAAAAGCTAAATTTAGGGCCCATTGTCCTTTTACTGGGCTGCTTTCTTTCGTCAATGAGGAATGAGGAAGAATTTCTGGCCTCGTGCAGTGAAGATTCAAAGATAGTTCTGTCTAATGTGGAATGCTGGGAGTGGGGAATGTTCAGGGATAAAAGGCACCGCATTCCACTCGGGATCGAATCCCAGCAAGGTCATCACAGTTTCTTCCCCTCGAAGTTGCATAATTCAGAGTTCCTGGAAGGGAAAAACATGCGAAACGTTCTTTCTTTTCTCCTATTTTCATGCTGTAAACCTGAGCAAATCGTATGGAATAATTCCCATAAAATTGGAGCATTCCGTACGAAAAAAAATGTTTGCGGTTTTTTTCTAAGTACAACGGTTTTTTAGATTCCATCACTCCTATGTTTTCTTTTGATGTTTTACGCTTATTAATTGTTTACAGGTAATCGAAAGCCATGGCGAGGTATATTGTTGTTCGGTCCACCAGGTACGGGTAAATCGTACATCGCGAAAGCGGTGGCAACAGAAGCCGACAATTCGACGTTTTTCTCTGTTTCGTCATCAGATCTCATGTCAAAATGGCTTGGCGAATCGGAGAAGTGAGTGAACTTGCGCCTCATATGTTTTCAATTATACATAGTCTTGAGAATCGTTGTCGCAAGATATACTGAGGGGGGGAGGGAGGGGAGAAGGGATGGGGTGGGAGCGCCGCCGAAGGTTGTCTCATGTGTTTTTAGTGATAGTTCTGCAGGTCATGTTGAATAGCTGAACACATAGTCAAGCGGGATAGGACCAAGAAGTCATGTTGCTCATTGTGTGCATCATTGACGTTGACGTCCCACGGAGTGGCGGGATATGTGGGGTCACAAAGGGAAAATCTCGTTAAGCAGGAGCGAGCCTCTGTTCACCGTCCCCAGAATTACAGAATCTAAAGCTGTTTGTCATCATCGATTCCTTTAAGGAGGCCACCATTGTTTGCTTCTGTTCGAAGTAGCGCGATAATTCACTCGGTCAAGCTAGGTGTAGGCAGGTTCGGGCGGATTGTTGCCCGGATCAAGCTAGAACTTTGCCGTTATGCTGTCCGAGCAACGTCGTTTTGGTTCATGATTCCTCTTTCATAAATTGACCAGACGAACTCAACGACAAATGCCATAAAGTGGGATTCGCTCGTTGGTTCGACAAATTCTAACGAATTGTGAATTTAGGGCACAGTTCAAGTGTTTTCATTATCCATTTACCCCAACACAGTGTGCCACGTAAACATTGATGCTGGGATTTGTGAGCAAGTGCGTTTTCTGCCCCTTCCCTTTAATTGAGGAAGCGTGTTCTGTGTAAACTTGAGCAGCTTGAACAGGAATGTTTTATTTTGTATTTCATAGTGATATCCAAATCCTTTCGAATTCGCAGTTTTGCAAAACTTGAGGCCTAGTTGTAAGGGTTTCAAATCTTTCTGTTAAGACGACGATTTTTGGCCTGAAAAGAATTCATACCATTTTCGTAGAGGAAAACCCGTGAGTAGAGATTTGTGTAACTGCCGCTATGCCGCAAGCTGCCCGCATTTATTCATGGGATTATCGTGAAAGGCTCGTTCACATTTATCGCCAGGAAACTCATAGTTCGATTTTTTTTTTATTGGCTAGTATAGGTATTCACTGATCAACCGCAAGTTACCCAAGCTAGTGAGCATTGGAGAGGGGCGTAGTGCGGTAAAGGGAAATAACGCTATTCCGATCATTCATTTTGCATTTCAAAATGATCATCGCTTGTTTCGTAAAGCAAGTCGTCACATTGCAGGTTGAGCGGGGGGGGGTATGATGTCTCGGTTCTCCGATTGGTTTCCTAGAAGCTGGGCCCCTCCATGGGTGATGGGGACAAGGGGAGATGCTAATACATTGGAAGCGCGTCGCTGGTAAATGCGGACATACGGTCAGTCGCTCTCAAAGCGGATTACTAGAAAAAAATCCAGCTGTGCAGATTCCAGATGTGTAATTTGAACTGTATGGATCATGTAATCACAACACATAAGTATAGTGATCGCCTAGATCCAACAGCTAGGATCGCTGACAGATTGGATTTGCTCCTAACCAAGTGGGTTTTAAGTCATTTGATAGACGTTTCCTTTTGTTTTTCGGCTTTTCTGATTGGAATAAGTAACAGATTATGTAAATACACTTAATGTAAGGCTTGAGGGTAGTAGCGTCATCTAGAGTTCAATATGAGTCACTTCCTCCACAGGTCCTTTGGCTAACAGGAAGCTTTACTATGTGCAGTTGATAGGAGACCTTTCAGTCAATTGCATTTTTTTCAGATTGGTGAAGAATCTGTTCGCTCTTGCACGGGAACACAAAGCCATCCATTATTTTTCATGACAGGTTCAGCTTATTTATCAATTTGCTTTTTTTGCTACGCGGAAGACCTTCATAGCAAAACCGCGTGGGCACGCGTTTATGCACGGAATGAATTTTTGCAAGGTTTTTTTTTAAATGTTGAGCATTTGAACGCAAAGTCTATGACGGGGATCGGAAAGTATTCTTATCTAAGTAATGAGCTGGTTCATAATTTTTCGAAACTATGTTTACAGACCACTAAAAAGTTGAGAGCGATTTTGTTTCATCTTCTTAATTTACCGTTGACTGGTCTCCAGTGGTACCATGCACTCGCGAGGCAAAGGATCAGAAGCAAAGCGAATAATCTTAAGATTTTTTGGAATTTGCGGAATAGTTCGATTGTTGCGTGGAAAGGATAAAAAATAAAGGATAAAGCATTTGCCGTTGATCAATCCCTTTTTGGGATGCGGCACGCATTCTACTTCCATTTGTACATTCGTAGTGGCGTTTGAATGCGATGTGGCCTATACAATGACTTGCGGGGGCCAGCCGATGTACAAGTCAGTGTTTTTATCCTCCCAGACAAGTCTGGTACCAATTAACCGACCCCGGAGGGATGGAAGGCTTGGTTGGCCCGGGCGACTCACGACCCAGGATTTGATCCCGGACCGCTCGCGTGGTGAGCGCGCCACTTGTCACTACACCCGAAGTCGCTGGCGAACCATATAATCGATAAATTCCCTAACTGGATTAATTGATTGGTTTTGTAACTCACTGTCATCCGATATAATCATGAGGAATGGGGGGGTGCCATGGCCACATTCAAAATTCCGTGATAATAATTTTTTTCCTTTTCTTTTATTACGCTCATATCCATCTATATGTGACTTTTGTGGAGGATTCGCGAAGGTTTTATGTTGTTGTTGTGATGGTCACCCACATAGATATATTGGTTTCCCTTGTAAGAAAAAGTGGTTCAGAGAACGCCTCAGTGGCAAATTTAGCCGAGAAAAAAAGAGGAAAGATTTTGCGACCAATTAGTTTTTTTTCTTTATGTCGCTGAAGGTGCGTTGTGATGTAATATGTTCAGATTGACTCATTGTGTGCTTCGCGATCAGACACCGAAAGTGAAAGTGCACGTCGTGTGAAGACAGAGTTCATGGTGCAAATGCAAGGTGTAGGCCTTAATACGAAATGATGGGTACTGCGGAGCCACAAATTTCCAATGATCCGAGACGTGCTATAAGAGGTAGTTTTTGGCTGTTGTTCTGGCGATGAGGTCAGTGTGGGGATTCTAGGAACATTGTCTTGATAGAGTCCTGTCTTCGTTGAAATTGTGCCTGCATTGAAGGGATTCCTTGGCTGTTTTGTATCATTGCTCTGGTTATTTCCACTTGCTTTTTTCTAGCTATAGTTAGCAACTCACTATTCAACTGCTGCTAGCCGTACCAAAAGTTGACATTTGGAAATGTCCGTGACACTCAGTTTCCGTGCGCTAATTTTGCCTGTGTCGCTCACGACGCAGGTAAACTGACAGTGAAGCAAAACTTACTCTCAAAGAGATTCAGCATGATCGCTCAGATCGCGTTCAAACTCTGTTTAGCGAATAGAAGGGTAGAAGATCAGAATAGCAGGCTAATAGGAGAGTAGGAGTCAGATAATAGTGAAGAATTTCAACAAAGAAGATGAGTTACCTTATGGATATAAACAGGTTCAAGGACCACTAATTTTTTACACTAAATATGATCATTTTTATATTAGTCTTTATCTAGCGGATTCGCTTTCTCCCAATCAAAACGTTCTAAATATTCGTTTGTCAACCAAAACGCTGTTTTTGAGGGTGGTTCATTGTCTCACGCGCAATTGAATAGATGTTGAAATTCCTTGACGAACGTACATCTCATTGGGGATTTACGCAGAGCTTAATATTCCATAGCGTGGTGTAAATATAGAGTACACGTATAACCCAGGTCACATGTATGTTGAAATAGTCGTTGTTTTCAGGCGTTTCGAGAAGAGAATTTACATTCCACTGCCGGAGATGAATGCGCGCAAAGACATGTTCCGTTTGGATGTCGGACGCAATAATAACAACCTAACAGATAATGATTAATAAGGTATGTAACAGTTCAGACAAGGAAGTGATTTAGAAGCATATGACCAGTCTTACCTGAAGTGCATGCTTCACGAAATGCACTGTGTTTCGTAATTCCAAAGGTAAACATCAGTACATCGGGACAGACAACAAGGACACAAAGTGTTCAAAGTTAATTAAAGGAAAGGCAAAGAACAAGAACGAATATCTCGAAATTACTGGCAATTTTGAGGAAGGCGGAACAGTATGTAGTAATTAGTGGCGCTGCTATCACAGCACGTCTAAGGCAAATTCATGGCCTAATCGTTCGAGCCACGGAACCTCCATCCTGCGGGATTCAGTGCATCGGAACATGTTGTCTTGAAGATAAAAACATGGCTTCTATGGGTAACCGTGGCTGCGATTTCTCTGGGGAGGCGTACTGTTTTAACCGGTCTATAGTAAATTGGCAAATGATGCAACGGCATTAAGGAGTTCTGGAAAGATTTGAGTAAAGTGAGAGAAATGATAAATATGGAGGGTTTGATTCCATATTCATACTTCTCTCTCTTGAGCAGAAGAAGCGGAGTTATGAAGTATGTGGGCCTGGTTTCCTATGTCAGACATCAACTTACTATTAGACACGGTAATAGAACAAGTCATAGGTTATGATGTGGGGGTCGCATCATGCTGGAGGACGTGCGGCAGGCTAGCAGAGGGGGGGTTCGTATTAGAGGACCCCCTCTTTGAGGCTAACGGTGGTGGTGGGTCATATCAAGATCCCGAATCGCATTAAGATGTCACTGCGATTTTGTATAGAGGTAGAACGCGTGGCACATCCCACCAAGGGTGCGTTTGATGCCAAACGCTATCCTTTTCGTTTTTATCATAGGAAAAGAGCTATGCTCCCCATTAAGAGAAGCAGCTCTAGAAACAAGGAGTTCTTCGTTACTTCGTTGTCAAGCTGTTTGAAATGTTTTGGACACATTCTTACCCAGACCATTTATGACCACGTTTCCTTTTGCAAAACTGCAAATTTAATTTTTCGCTTCTGAAATTGGATTTCAGTACTCAGAGTCCTCCAGAGTTCAATCCACTGTCCAATGAAAACCTATTAATTTCGTTAGGAAAAGGTTTCAATATTTCGATGGAGCGGAACCATTAACATTTTGCATTGACAGCTCTTCGAAAGTTCGAAAGCGACAGTTAGGTTGAAGAAGTGCGGGTCAGTGCTGCGCTTAAGACCAGAGAGATGGGAAATTGGACAATTATGATTATAGGCTGACAATTAGCTGTAAACATCTCCTCGTTCCTTTTTCTCTTTCTTTTATATATGCCATGGCAATTGCTTGATTTTAGTTGTTGGCTGAGCGTACAGAAGGCTATTCTGGTTACGATATCAATATTCTCGTCAAGGATGCACTAATGCAACCGATTCGACGTGTGCAAGCTGCTACTCACTTCAAGTATGTTTTTTTTTCATAGATTCTGTTGCTTAATTTTTAACGATGAGCACAAAGCCCCTCTTTCAGGCACGTCAGCGGACCTTCGCGAACGGATCCTTCAGTGATCGTGCACGACCTGCTTACCCCATGTAGCCCAGGCGACCGTGGAGCGATGCCGATGAGTTGGTTAGATGTGCCCGGCGATAAGCTAGCTGAACCGATTCTTACTATGGTGGGTGGAGTTTGGTGTATAGAATTGGAGTGAGTTGATCTAGAGAATCTAACGGAGAACTTTCTCCTGCATTGACGTGTTCACATTCATATCCCATATATAGGCTGTGAGACTGTCTTGCGGTTTTTCCAGGCAAGCTGTGATGGCTATCAAATCGTTTTTTTCGACTTTACAGTTTTATTTTTGTTTCCATGTGGGCTACAGGGGCTGAAGTGCTGTAGTAGTAAGTGATGCAGCTCACCTTCCGCACGGTCCGCGGATCAAACATTGGATCGTACGCAGCGTGGGCTAACCATGCCTCATGCTCCCCCAACGTTGGCTACTTGATAGCAGATTAATCTGGTACCAAATAACCGACGGAAGGTTAAAAACACTGACTGACTCGTACATTGGCAGCAGTCACATCGCGGCCACCGATACTCCGTCATAGGCCAAATTCGCCTTTTCTCCATAGAATAGCGTTCGACGGAGCGTCGGGATTGTCATTTGCGTGGAGTGGTTAGAACGAGGGTCATCTTCAAATGAAAAAGGCCAACTTGAGGTTTCGAAAAAACTGGTGTTTTAGCCAGAGAAGTGAGAAAACGACAGGATGCACGTCGGACAGCGAGATAGGGCCAGGGACGCCAGAACGAGTAGGTGAACAGCGCAGCGCACAGGCATAAGAGTTGTCAGCGTAAGCTTGAATCGAGGGAATACATCATAGTTTACGCTCCCACATTGCATAATACTCACGTACGTTGCGACTCGTCCGCCGACCCGTCTGCGTCTCTGTCATCTCGTCATTCGACCGGCCTGCTGTCGGATACCCTAGAGAAAGCTATGAGCAGTTGAGATGACAAGTTTTCGTATAGGTGAGCATGTATGTTACGTCGCGTGGCACGTTGCAACGCTTCAATGACTTTCAAAAGATTTTTATAGCAATAAATGTAAAGTGGTCCGGAAATTATGCACCAACCCTACATAAACGATTTCGGAGAACCAGAGGAGCGTCGAGTGCGGATCACGCACCACAAGTGACGACGACCAAGGAAAAAGAGGACAAAAAACCATTTTTCTTTTCGCCGTCGTAACTTGTGGTGTGTGGTCTGCACTCGACACTCTTCCTGTTTCCCGAAATGGAGCCTTGAATGCTCTCTTCCATATCCATCAAGGAAAACCTTACAGGAACTGAAACACACGCATACTTGATCCTGAAAGTGTTCATTTTGTGCTACAAAGATTAATTATTATTTGTATTGTATTCTTGTTCTAGCATGATATGCTGCGATCGTTGGCTACCGTGAAGCCGACGGTGAACGCTGCTGATTTGACGAAACTGGAGCAGTTTAAGAATGATTTCGGCCAAGAAGGATAAGAAGAGCCCATTGATGTGTCGGTGAAATGCGGTGTATTTCACGCGGTCTGGCGCCTTGTTGTTGTATATTCATTCATCCATGCTATCCTTGCTCCTTCATCCAATGCACCGGTGTGTCCCTCGGAAAACTTAATCTATAGATGAAAAAAAAGTGTTCGCGTCAATTTTGTAAATAATGGGGCAGGCAAAGTATCAAGTGTAGAAGAGTATCTGTTTGAAGCTGTTGTCAAATTTCAATTCGTCCTCACGCACTTCAGAATGGGTATTGATTGTGCGCGCGCACGATCGATATCTTTTTGCTCTCATTTGCTGGAAGTGCGTTCCAGTGTTGAGTCGACTTTGTCGACTTTCTTCTTTTCCATTTTCTGTTCCTTTCCGTTAATCTTCTCGATAGAGTACTTGACATGATTGTTTCGTGGTGCTCGAGACTGAATTTTTTGAGAGTCACAGATGGGCTTTTGTTTTCCTTCCAAGCATTAAGGTTAAACTCTGGTTTCAAGCTAGCGATACGGTATCTGAGGGTTACTCGAGTTGAAGGAGGAGTTGATTCGAGTACTGCCATGGGTTACCGTATTCCCTTCTAGGTATTTATTTATATTTTCAGATTTAACACATTTTTTCTTTCGCCGTATTTTCCCCTTTGAGTACTGAGAGTCATGTGTAATCATAAGCGTTTTCTTCTTTCCTATGTTTTCTTATATCTTTTCGATTATCGTATGTTTGAGGAAATTTCACATTTGTACTAGTAGAGCCCATATTTCCATAGCGTTCTTCTGTATGGTTTTGATCATTGTCGAATGAGAATTGTGTGGGGAATGTGATATTCTCGACAAATAAAAGTACATTTTTCAGTGTTGTTTTGATGGCAGATAGGCTGCCAAGGTTGGCGGTTTCAAATGAGTGTTATGAAAATTTGTGGAACTTGACACTTCGTTAAAACGAGATTGGGCGCGGTGGATCGAATCTCGATTGCACAAAACAGAAATCTCGTCCTGATACGGTGGGTCAGATGCTGGGTTATGCACAAGAACTGAATGGGTTCGCGAAGACAAGAACTGCATATCCCGATCCAAGTCACTACTAGTGTACGTATGTGAAGTAAGGAGTTCTGAACGGGTTTTGCAATTCAGTTGCATGGCCCAACCGGGATGGAGTGATCGGTGGTGAGAACGTGTTATCCTCTACCCAAATCATCATCCCATAAACGTGGGTTGCCGCGCAACCAGAGTCAACCCTGCGTTGCGCAGTTCGCAACGGCACGTTGAGAGATCCTCAACGCACGCTGTATGGGCGGAGACACAGACGGCTCGAGCATGCGAGTGTGAATGTTCGCGCGAGAGAACGTGTCTAATCGGGCGAAACTGCGCAACGTGGCCGTTGAAAACTGCGCAACGCAGGGTTGACTCTGCCCCCAACAGGCCCCACGCGCGAAAGTATTAGACAGTAGAGGCGGCATAGAGGACGAGTTTGCAGCGCGGGTCACGCATACCGCAACACAGAATTATAAACACACAGCGTTCACAGAGTTAAAAGCGGATTACAACACACTACCGATACTATCTCCATCCCAGAGCAACAACCAAGCACCGAAGCGTGCCAAAACCCACCTCACGAGAGATCACTCATTGACCAAGCACATACTAGCCATCTCTTAGAACTTCGACACGGCAGGAATGGCCCTCTTAGGGGAGACCACCTAAACAGTCATACAGAGAAAAACCAATAATAAAATTTAAAAGAGGTCGGATGCGTAGCGACCGAGCGTTTTTTGGAGATGTGTTGACTCAAAACAGCCACAAACAACCTTCCATTTACCGCCTAATTCATAACAACCAAAACAACAACAACAACGCAAGGGGGGTCCGTCATTTGTGATTCGAGAAGCAAGGGTCACATTTGGGGTGCCCACGCACGGATAATCAGTACAATGGCCAGAGGTATGATGTCTCGCGGGTATCTGACGACTTTTCAATGAATTTTCACGAAACAGATAAGTGGAATATAAGATGCAAAACGGATAAAATGAATTGAGAATCGAACTTCGCTTGATAACCCAAATAAACCACCACACCACCCCCCCACTCGAAATGTTTTGAAGTAAATATGGGCAGATAAAGACAAGCAGACATTATTTTTGAGGTGATGGCCGAGAAGGGAAAGGGGATCGTATGGGGAACTCTCCGACAAGACAGATGGAATAAACGTCATAAGGCCACAACGTTTACACCCAAAAAAAAGTGCGGCATCGTGACGTGGAGCCGCCTGCTTCTAACCGACATGGCTAAACTCGAATAAATTATAAATACAAGACCCCACACCATGGTTGTAGTGTGGGAATGGTGTTTTGAACCCCCCGTCCAATAGGTGCGTATCAAAACGAGACCCAGGGCACACCTAAAAATTTATGAAAAACGATAGTGAAGCGCCAAACTAAAACCATGCTACATTAATAGCCAACACACCCATTATAAAGACCGAGACCATTCTATTTACCAGTACCCTTTAGTCAATTAAAGTGTACGCCACGCATACTATTTCTGTTCAAAAAGTTGTGGTTTTTCAATGCAATCAGGCCTACAGAATGACTTGCGGAGGCAGTTTGTAGGCGACCAAAGCGCACTCATACGTGGTGGATGTTACTTCTAACTGAACAACTGCGTAGTAGTGAGCTGAATCCTTCGGGTTCGCTATAGGAAAACGACATTGTTTCACCCTCCTAATTAGGTCTGCACAAACAAACAAAAAACAAACAAGTCTCGTCTTAGCAGGTGCTGGAATGGCCTCGGACTGAGCGAGATTTGACCGGGTTATTTCGGATCTCATAGATTGTACACCTAGTAAGCAGCTCCGCCACTGCACCACCTCTGTTACCAACCACTCATTTCTTGAACAGTTCTGCTGCTCAAAAAAATTTACCAAGTTGTTTGTTGATTGCCGCCCTCCAATTCTGTGCTTCTTCATTGAAGCTTAGCAAAACTGCAGAGGATTCGATTAGTAGATAATGTGGGCTAAAGCGGCGGCTACCGCCAGTTCAATAGCTCATTTTTATGCAGATGATAATCGCCCTCTCCAAAAGTCCTTGAAAACCGAGAGCTTAGGAGGTGGGCAGAAATTCATCACACGAAGACATCTGGTGGCCGCCGGCGGCCGTCCTCGCGGAGCCTCAGGCAGGACACATATCGATCGTCATCCTCCCAGATATAGACGACAGCTTTAGCGCTCTCCAGTCGAATGACCTCATGGGAACACACATGGCGGTCGCTATTTGGAGCATTTTCTTCTACTTAATAGAACAGCTGACAGCACAGGTTCGTTTCGTTTTGATTTCTCTACTTTTTTACTAGGAGTTTTTTCTCAATAAATCACAACGATACTATTTCGTTTTTTTTTTCGAGTCATTTTGAAGGTTTTTTTTGGAAGGGGAGCTCGACTCCATCATCTTATTTCCTTTTACGAAAGCTGGTATGTCCCGTAGTGGTCTAATATCCACAAGCTTGTTACCTGTCTACTATTGGAAAACAAAGGGGGAACTGGAACTTTGGATCCCTTCTGGATACGCCATGTAGTTGATCTTAATTCGGGATAGTAGAATCATTTGATTGGTCGACACTAAAAGTTATGGGATACGCCGATGTGAAACCCAATGCTTTTACTCTCGCACTCAAGTTGATTACCAATCAGCTGATTACTAAAAATATTCAGGCTGGAATACTGGGACCCAACTATCTCACCTTTATTGACAGTTTTGGCATTTTTGTTCGGTTTCTATTGTATTATGTTGCTTTCACTTCCTTACAATTTAATTTTGCTTAATTATTTACCAATTTTTACTTTGTTATCCTTGGCACTTTGGAAAAATTGAATAACAAATGATGTTCACGGCAATAATTTTCTACAATGCGCCCTGCACTTACCTACCTTCTAGAGTCGCATTATGCATTGAAGTGCTCTGTCGCGTTACAAAGCCTCACGTTATCCATTTGGAAGTCAGTGCTCTCATTACCGGTACCCAAAAACCTGAAAGGGTTTGTTCTTCCAAATTTGACCTTCCGGGAAGTGCAAATGCGAGTCAGTACATTTAATCACATTACTGCATGAAAACCTCGTGGGCTGACGAGGTACACTGACAAGTTGCGCTGCTTCCACGCGCTCAGCCTTGGGCTCAAATCCACGATAGTTTATTGAGGCCA